TAGGCTGCATTATGTAGGGTGTATTTAGTAGAAACAAAGATACCGTTGTACAAGGCATTGGTAAGACCCATTTAGAATACTGTGGGCAAAAAGTTCAAAGAAGATCAATATAAACTGAAAGAAGTTCAAAGGACCACTGAGAAGGTTAGGGACATGGAAATAAGGAAAAAAAAGAGTAAAGGACCTTAAGGACAGCAGGTACAATGAGGAGGCTCTACGGTATTAAATTAGAAATCTCAGAAAAGCAACCTTGTCACTTGCTGGGCATTAAAATAAGTTAACATCAGCTGCAGAATTTAGAATGTTTTTTTTAATAGTTATATGGATATGTTATTAAAATCTATACATATAAATGCCCTTAAGTCTGAAAACCATTCTTGGATAAAAAACATTGGCTTTATATCCTGGTATCACAGATATAAGTATTTCCTTCTCTTCTGAATCTTTTCTATGTGGTATAGTTATCCGAGCCAGATAGATCTATATCTATATTAGAGATATCTCTCTCTAATATGGAGATATAGATATATATATGGCAATTTATTTGCATGAGGTATCTCTGTGTATCCTTGCCAAGGGAAAGCAGCAAAAGGAAAGAGTTTCCATCTAAAGAACAGCTTTTGTAAAATAACTTCTAGGTTTTAATAGTCTAAGAGCAACTGACTTGTTAAACTAAGTGGTTAAAATTGTCAGGAACTGTATTATCAAGTTACTCATTACAGCTAAGTCAAAATGTAATTTTAAACCCCTTAAGTAATACTTGTATTTGATCAAAGTAGCATTTCAGAGAGAAGACTCAAGTAAAATTGCTCATGATACTTTTGTCTACTGACAGAGGTGTAGCAGGGCCGCATTGGCTGCCCCAGTGTTAATAATAACTACAGTTATTTTTGTGCCCCTAGGGTCTCTGGTTCTTCCCCTTCTTCCCTTCCTCCCACTGCAGCTATACTATTGTCTACTAAAAAATTAACCCATTTTTATGTTACGTGTAAGTGTTGTTCAGTGAGGTCTTTTAGATTTTTTGCTAAGTTTTATTGCATATAAGTTTTATTTCTTCTTGCTTAGGCTGGTGGAAGAGACCTTCACAGTAGATGAGGTGACAGAAATTCTGGATGGGCTACAGACTGTGGTACACAGTGAAGTGGAATCAGAGCTCATTAACACTGCGTACACCAATGTGTTACTCCTGCGCCAACTTTTTTCACAGGCTGAGAAATGGTATCTTAAGCTACAGACTGACATCTCTGAGTTGGAAAATCGGTAATGTAGTTTGAACTATCCAGAGACACAGAACAATTTTATTGATACCAGAAGAACTTTGAAATGCTGTGCTACCCTATCCAAATACCCAAACCAGTCATTTTGAAGGTTAAGAAAAAAATTTCATATTTCGTAGTCATATCAAAGATAGAGGTGCACCAATACATTGGTCCGATATCGTATTGGCACTGATACAAAGAAACCTGTTTGTATTGGAAATCGGCCTGCTGTGGCCGATAAATGGCCCATGCATGCACGCAGCTGCCAAGTGTGGTGTGGTGGGAGGGGGAAGGGAAGAGATGTGGCGGCAGGGGACAACAGATCAAGCTCCCGGCGGTGAAGGAGGAGTGGAGCTGGGGTAAGCGCTGCCTAGGCAGGGCAGCTGCAGGTGCAGGATAGAGCCACAGCTCATCCAATGGGGCATGGGGGGGAGGCTCCTGCTGCTTTGTGCTGCTTGTGTGGGAGCCACTGGTTTGGCGGCTCCCACTGCTGCTCCCACCACTCATCTGGGAAGGCATGGATGGGGGCATGAGCCCCCAGATCTGCGCGGAGCTGGTGCTGCACCAAGCTCTTCCTGGTGGGGTGGGGCTGGACTCAGGGCAGGCAGCAGTAGTGCTGGGATGGGGGGAATGCTGCCACCTCAACATTCACCACAGCCCCCCCACTCCCACCCCTGAGTCCCAGCGCCGCAACCACCATCCACCCCAAGTCCAGCCCTGCCCCACTGGGAAGAGCTTGGCACAGCCCTGGCCCCACACAGATCCTGGGGCACATGCTTCCCCAACCCTGTGCCCTCCTGGATGAGTGGTGGGAGCTGCTGGACAAGTCGGAGAGCTCCAGACCAGCGGCTCCCGTGCGCAGAGTTGGGAGCATTTCCTTCACCCCCCCCGCACCCAGACAAGCTGCAGCTCCATCCTGCGCCTGCCCCGCCCTGGCTGGACAGCGCTTGCCTCTGCCCCAGCTCCACTCCTCCTCCCACCCCCATGCCCCTTCCCTCCACCCTCCCCTTCCGCCGCATCAGACTTACCAGCTGCATGCAACTCTCTAAGCTGCCAGGCTAGTATTGGATCACTGTCAGCCGACATGCCTCCTTAAAAATCGGTTTTTGGTATTGGCCCCAAAAATGTCTGTCGGTACTCCCCTAATCAAAGCTGATTTGGTTGCAGATGTAGCCTTTTATCTGAAAGGTGATATAATATATGGTGCTTTTAACTTTTTTGTGAAATGGCTTGTTTCTGTAAAAATAAAATAAAAATAAAATTAAATTAAAAAAAAAAATAGTAGTCTAATTTACCTAGAATTTGTAATAAGCATATAAAGCACAAGTGCTTTGGATTTAGTTCAGACAACTCATTTGATGTAAACAGATCAGTTTGAAAATCTTAAATCTTGTTTTTAATACTTGTATTACTCCTGCACATGATATTCTTCTCGTCTTTTTTTGTACTGATGTGGAGGCTAAGTCTGCGTGCCTAATGAAAGTTTTACTTTGTAACAAAGAAAATAACAACAGCCTTGTAATTTTTTTTTAAGTATTTGTCTAATGATCATTGTTTCCATTATTATTTTTTCTTCCAAGAGAATTGTTGGAACAAGTTGCTGAATTTGAAAAGTCAGAATTTAAGTCTTCAAACAAGAAGGTAGAGTTTGATTCTAAAACTAATCAAATATTATGTGAAATTACAGATGTGTTTACTTTGGACTATGTACATAAGAGGAATGTAATTTATGATAAAAGTAACTTTTAAAGATTTTTTTTTTAATTCCTAAAGTTAGTTAAAATAATCCATAATTTTGTCACTTGCTGACTTCGCTTTTCAAAAGTGTTTTTCATTAATTCCAGTGGAATGTGGTACTTTTTGGCTTTGGGGTGGATTCGTGTGTTTTTTAACCTGTGGTCATAAGTAATTTAGAATGTAAAAAATGCTGATTTTAATTGCCAGACAGGCTTACCTGACTTGATCAACATCTTAATAGATCTCATTTGCCTCATGCTATAGTCCATTCAATTTCTAAAACTTGTGTGTATTAAATAAAAGAGAGTGAATAAAAATTCTTTTCAGTGCGGGCAATAGGATCAGAAGCCTCTCTTCCTTAGAAAGGAAACTGCTTGAAAAACTTCATGTTCAGCAAGTGCTTTAAAATAGACAATAAATTATACAAGATCAGTTATTTTTAACTTAAACCTCAAATCTGAATAAATGTAACTCAGAGTAGATTGTTATTCCTTTGTTTTCCACAAGAAAGCAAAATTAGAATTATTCTAGGAATAATTCAAATAGCGGACTGGCCAAATTTGCCAATGACACCAAACTTTGGGGCAAAGCATCCACACCAGAAGACAGGTGGGCGATCCAGGCTGACCTAAACAGGCTCAGGAAATGGGCAGACGAGAACCTGATGGTGTTTAACACTGAAAAATGCAAGGTTCTCCACCTTGGGAGGCAAAACCTGCAGCACCCTTATAGGCTCGGCAGTGCTACGCTGATTAGCACTACGGAAGAAAGAGACTTGGGGGTCATCATTGACCACAAGATTAACATGAGCCTGCAGTGCGATGCTGCGGCTACTAAAGTGACCAAAACGCTGGTTTGCATCCATAGATGCTTCTCAAGCAAATCCCGGGACGTCATTCTCCCGTTGTACTCGGCCTTGGTGAGGCTGCAGCTGGAGTACTGCGTCCAGTTTTGGGCTCCACAATTCAAAAAGGATGTGGAGAAGCTTGAGAGAGTGCAGAGAAGAGCCACGCGCA